AGAATTCTTTTGTAAAAGTTCCCCAGAAAAGGCTTGGACACCCAACTCCGACTCAACAGGCAAAACATATCCAAAAGTAAGCCTCCCTTGCTTAATGTTAATAATGGAAGACAATTAAACTAATAAGTTTTGACCCATGCATAAGCAGACCATGCAATTGTTCACAGAGTTCATTGAGAAACTGTAGTGAAACATGAACATGCACCATATTTCACGGGCAGAAAGCTTTCAGGAGTTCAAAAATTAAAGGGAGACACTGTTGCCATCAGTACAACTAGGGGAAGCTGATGGCAGGCAATTGCTGATACATTCAATCTGTAGATTGTCACCTTTTTCATCATGCACATTATAACCGTAGATATATCCAAATTAAATGTGATATTTTACAAAAAAAATCTATGTAACACAGAACGCTCAACTTTAGTAAATAAGCTCAGCCCTGTGGAAGTTGTAAACTGTCCTCTAGAAATTCAGTAATGTTTAGATATGTGTTGAGGTTGAGGAATGGGTTATTTTGATCCGAGAAGACATGCTCTAATGAGTGTGACAATGCCTTTTATGGACTAAAGTGAATTTTTATCACAAAGGGATGGAGACAACAGATTTAGGTATTTTGCATATGATTAAGACATTTCCAAAATTGTGTAGGCTATATATATATGTGTATATATATATATATATATATATATATATATATATATATATATATATATATATATAAATGTTTAAGTTGAAAATAGATCATTGTTTACCGGTATATATTTTATTGAATTGAAATTTTTTATTTATACCGTAAGTAGAATATAATTTGTTTCCATTTTTGATGGCACCATAGGGTGCTAATACACTAAAGGACTGGTTATACTCCTGCAGCAGTGTGTCGCAGTGAGCTTGTTGCACGTATGACGCAGACATTTTTTATTTATGCTCAATTTTGAAGCATGGCTGTGCCATGTTTATTCCATGCCACAATGCAAAAGGAAAAAAATCACGAACTAGCAGTAGGTCTAGATACGGCCAAATTGGTGAGGAAGTGGGGGCAAGTTTGTGGAATAATGGAGGGACATAATGGTGAAAAAGAGTGGGGATCCAGGTGGAAAAAGGGTCCCTGTGTTCTCACGCACTTTGCTCTTCTAGCTGGTCCATCTTCAGGAGTCGTTTTCTGCAATCGCGTCATACAAAAAATCCCCGCGTTCACCATGACACTATAGCAGACAACCTACCGGTAGTTTCTAAGTATAAAGGGCTGGTTATACTCCAGCAGCAGTGTGTCGCATTGAGCTTGTCGCAGGTATGATGCAGACATTTTTGATTTATGCTTAACATTTAAGCGTGGTCAGCACTATGTTTATGTCATTATCTGGCCTGTTTGCTCCTCCTTAATTAGTAATTCCTCTCACCTGCCATTTTCCCTCCCTGAATATAAAGCAGAGGAAACTCTGCTTTATATTCAGTTCAGCCTGAGCATTCAGTGCCAGATCATTACTTGTCTTTCTGTTACTCTGTCCGTTCAGTTTTTAGCTTGGTTCATGTTCTGGATCCTGGCAGCCAGTGGAAAGAGGGTTTTTGTGTTTGTCTCCTGATCGTCCACTGTTCCTCCCCCGCGGAGTCCTCTGGGTTTTTGGCTCATTATGGGGGGAGGTTCAGTTTTTATCCAGTAAGCCTGGCTCCAGGGAGGAGACCAGTTTAAAGTCCTGCTTCAAGTTCCAGTTCTACGTCCTGTCTCGGCTACCCTCTTTCACTGAGCCTGCCTGTCTGCACCTGATCCTGTCTGCTCCTGTGCGTGACCACCCGGTCATGCTTCTGGTCCCAGTCAGACTCTGAACCCTCCTGGAAGCCTGTGCATGCCTGGAAGTCTGGATCCTGCCACCTGTTTCTGTTCCTGCCTGTTCCTGTCTGTTCTGGATCCCTGACCAGGATCGGCTTCCAGCATGACCTCTGGAACTGCAGCACTGGGACATTCTTGGTCTGGACTGTTAAACCAGAGTGTCTGAGATTGGGCGGTGCCCCGCCCCCCCGCCTGCAGTGTCCGCGAGCCACAGCTCCGCTTTTGTTTTGTTTTATTTAATAAACGTTTGAACTTTCCTACTGACTGTCTCTCCTTGAATACTGGGTCCATCTGTCCTCGTTTCATGACAGTTTATTCCAAGCCACAACACAAAAGGGGAAAATCATGAACTAGCTGTGGGTATAGATACGGCCGAGGCAGTGAGGAAGTGGGGGCAAGTTTGTGCAACAATAGAGGGACATGAGGGTGAAAAAGAGCGAGGATCCTGGTGGAGAAAGGTTCTCGCGCACTTTGCTTTTCTTGCTGGTCCATCTTCACGAGTCGTTTTCCGCAATCGCGTCATACAAACAAAACAAGCCGGTTAGGTACCAAACAGGAGATACGCATAGTGTAGAATGGATTTAGATTTGACCAATCAGAGGCCTCCTCTCTGCGGCACTGTCACCTACAATTTGGGAGAGGTGCAGCAGAGTGTCTGCGGGAGGGGCGGGGACGTCTCTGCATTCACAGCGACACCTATGCAGACGACCTAGTTTTGAAGTATAAATCAGCCTTAAATCAGCCTTTACTCTTCCCTAAGGTACTGGTTCAGAAAAGAAGATACATAGTTTAAACATGGGTTCAACCCGATTACCTAAAATTGTATATCCTACTTCCTGTTCCTAGCTCCTATCCCTTCTGCTAGGTAAGGTCAAAAGTAAAAACACTATCCAGGGTAAGGAAGGAACTTAAGTTTGCTGTGCTGAAACCAGACAGCTCTTGTCTTTTGGACGTCAATACTCAATGGACACATACATGATTGTTGTGGTGAAACTGGGACTGGAAACTAACAAAAAATACAAGGGTACACAAAAGTAGAAAATGGCTGAATCTCTCCATTATCAGCCCCAAAAGATAAAGGTGTGTACATTAGCATGTGTAACATGGAGTTGATGTAAATTGAAAAAATTAAATTTAAAACTCAGTGAGGAAGGCTGGGCATGCAAAGGGTTCTTGGAATCTATACAGCTCCTGGGGGCTGTATAGGTCAGTATGCTAACTGAACTGGCATTAATCTTTTTTTTTTTCATTACACTGTTACATGTACAGAGCAACAAAATGAACTCTCTGTATTTAACCCACCTCCTTGGGGAGCAGTGGGCTGCTATTGTGCAGGAGTAGTGTAGGGTTAAGGGTCTTGCTCAGGGATGCAGAGTGTCAGTCTTTGAGAGTGGGGCTTAAACTCAGAACCTCTGGATTCCAAGCACAACCTCCAGACCACTCAACATATTCTCATTATCAGTTCGTATGAAATCGTACGAAAAGTTATGCACACTATTTCGTACGTTTTGGACGTTTTTCCTCAAAAAACCAGATCAGTGCGGATGCGCAGGCAGACAGACAAAAAAAGCAGATCCGCGGACGGACGTAAAACTGGGAAAAACAGTGCAATCATCACTTATTCATGTCTCTAACTACATTGCTTGCTGTTTTATATCTTAGGGTTAGGGTCAGGGTTAGGGCTAATTGTATTTTAAATTCTATGTTCTTGAATGGTGCGTAAGATGCGCATGCGCATACGATGAAAAAAATGTCCAAAACGTACGAAATTAGGGTGCATAACTTTTCGTACGATTTCATGCGAACTCATAATGAGAATACACTGGACCAGTAGGCCTCCACTCCCCTATTAAGTGGCGCTAGGTACCATCCTCCTTCCTGGTCATAGTGCCTTCATAACTACCATCACTATTCAAATAGCACTTATTATGGTGACCAGTGATGCACTTCTACCATGGCTTAAGTGTTCTTAGGGAACTAAGATTTTTTTTATGAAACCCAAATGACAATAAACTAAATCAGACTGGGTCAACTAAGCCTGGCTTTCAAACTAAGCCACTTTCATGAAACACCACCCTGCTCCTAAGAAGCCTTGTAAGTTTCTGAATAGTGTTGTTATTAAATCCTCCATGCTGCTCCTGAGTCCTCCCTGCATTTTGGTCTTTGGTCAAACAACCCAGCAAACGGGACACGTGTGGGTTTGAAATATTTTCACAATCTTGCTATAGCTGGACAACAGATTGCTTAACACACTAGAGTTCAATGAAATCTCTAATGTGAAAATATACCATCATAAATCACAAGCACAAGAAAAACTACCTGTTCCACCACTTGAGATCACCATTAAAGAAAAGGTTAAAACATTAAAAACATACACTTACATTTGAAGTGTACAAGACACAAGATTTGAATAATAAAACCACTTATCTTTTTTATCAAGTGATTAATATTCAAAAATGCTCTTTTACATTCAAACAAGGCTGACAAAGATTATCGATCCCATTAATCAAATATCTCCAATTCTGTGGATATCGATAAAAAGGTTTAAAAGAAAATGAATTCTTTGGAAGTCAGATCCTGCCTCAGGTTTAAATCAAACATGCGTGTTAATGAAGCTGCTGCCGTCATCAATGCTGCCAGATCAATATGTCAAACATCGGCCAACTAGCACAAATGATCGAAGCAAGAACTGGATGTAATCTGACACAGAGACACTGTTCTTCAAATAAAGCAGCATTTCTGTATGAAAAGAAAGTGACATTTTTCATTTTTTTCTTGGATTTCTGAACTTCCTTAGGTCAATAGCTACTGCTCTGTAGGGAAATTTACTTTGCCTCATGCAGACATGGGTTTGAGCCCCCAGGTCATTTACAGACAAAATGATTTAAATTGGAATGGTCCTTTAGAAAGTGACTCATGCTGAGATATCTAATTCCATCCATTTTGTTTTATGTATTCGTGTTCTATTCCAGATATTTTGCAGCTCCTTAATTATGTGCTTTTCAGTAAAAATTGTTATCATGTCTGAAAAAATATCTGATTTAAATAATGTTCATGTCTGTGGTAAAATGATGCCCTTTGACATGTGTCCAACAACCCCCCCCCCCCCCCCCCCCCCCCCCACACACACACACACACAAACAAATGAAGGATCAAAATGCATTTCACCCACCTTGTGTCGAGCAGAGCATCCAAACCAATATAATCCCAAATCCATACACTAACCAGGTATGCAAAGTCATGGATGCAGCACAGGGGTAAGGGTCAGTAATCTGTGCTGAAAGAGTCAGAGATTTTCCTCTGCTCACATCTAATTCCCACAAAAAAGCAAATAAAAGGTGCATAGAAAAAAAAGACAAAAACAACAAAAAATAACGCAGGTTCCCACTTAACTGAACCCTGAGGATGCTGAGCCCCTTACTCCCACTCTGCCTCGCTGAAGCTCACACTCTGAATGAGGAATCTGATGGTGAGAGTCCAGTGAGAGGGGGAGCAAACCAGCCAGCCAGTCAGCTCAGCTCAGCAGCCAGTCAGGCAAAGAGAAGAGGAGGAGGAAGACTGTTTGTGTGAAGAAACTAAATAAATGAATGTCCTCATAATCTGTGTCCTCAAATCCTGGGAGGCATAAGATGTTGGAATCTCTCCTCTCTCACACCTCATGACAAAAGAAAACACAGTAAGGACTCTCATCATAAAGATGAAAACAAACAATAAAAGTGTGATCCTTTTCCTGCTGGGACATACAAATCAATCAGGGCTTAATCCTAAATCATAATCCAATGCTTCTAATAATATCCCAATCACAATGTGTTAAAAGCCCAAGAGCTAAATGGGATAGGACACCACAGGTTCAGCCTCCGAGAGCATGGAAATGTGTTCATGTTTGTGCCTCAGAGTGGGAGCACTGCCAAAGCACGCCCAAACAGACCAAGCACACGCACATGTTGCAAATAGGGCAGGTTATCTGTGCTTGGTGTATCACTACACACTCGCACAGAGGAGAAAATTCTATCTAATCAAGAATTAAAGACCAAATCCTTTCTTAGACACTGTAATGCCAGAGGATAAGGCAGGCTTTGTGGTAAGCCCTCATTCCCTCCCCACCCCAAGCAACATATGGTCTGATCTGATAGACGGCTGCCATTGACTGTCATTATTCCTATTAAGACATATTTACAGCAGCTTGTTAGGATTTCTACACGTTACAATAGAATGAGGGGATATTAAACATTCATCAGAGCTTATTTACAAGGCACACAATGGGAAATAATTTCGCAGTGCTTCCTTCATAATGATGCACATACAGAGTGATTTTGTTTGGAAATGTGTGCAGCTGTGTGTAATTTGTATCTCTTATTTCTGAGTCATTGTTTGTGTGACTGTGTGGGAAGTAAAAGTATATTTAGGTCATTCTTTGCCAAAATTAATTCATATATATGCATCTCATATATTTCCTTGACAGAATTCATAGGAAAAGGGACTTTTTTATTATTTTTAAAAGATACGAGTCTAGGAATTTGTGTCTGGGATTCCTCCAAAACAGAAATCTAAGTGAAGATAATAAGAACACAGAGGGACAAAAAGCAGATGCTAATCAAATTATTCCTGATCTAAACGTTGACTGAGCAATAATAGGACATTGTCAGCTAAACTGCCTATTAATGTGTTTTTTTGTTACTTATTCAATCATGGAGGCTGTAAAGTTTTTATTTTTTTATTCATGGTTAAAATGCTGAAGGTTCTTGCTTATAGAAACCCCCAATTGCGACAAACTGGATAACAAGTTGCATGGTTAGCACTGTCCACCTTATAATGTTAATACTACATGATAGCATTTTCCCTTAATTTAAATTATTAATCAAGTGGGAATGTTAATCTGTGTCGAGATCAGAGTCAGTCCTTCACTGCTGGCAGATAGCAGCAGGGCAGAATTACATCTTATAAATTCTACTTGATTCAAAAGGTTCACTTTTATCCAGCTGTAGGATATAGAGTTTTATTTATCATATATTACTGGACCGTAAAAAAAAAAAAAAAAAAAAAAAAAAAAAAAAACTTAGTTGGTAGAGATGATATTTTTGAATAAAAACCTGGTTAATTTTCATTTTGCTTACAGATCAGTTTTGTTATTTTCTCAGTTTATTTGATGATTAGTAAGTTCCTCTTATTGGTAGTTTCTAGTGGATATTAGATATTGCTAATTGACTTGTTTGAGACCTACTCTGGATTTTATTTTATGACTCACATGTGTTTACTAGGATTGAGTAAACTTGTTACTTGCCTCACAATCACTAAGTCCGACTTCTGGATGCCTAAACCTTAAAGATATTTTTTTATTGCAGGGAATATGCAACACTATTTCTCCCTCGATAAAAGAGCTCCTCACCCTATTTTCAAATCCGAGACCAACCACCCTTCAACACAAGGGCACATTAGTCATATTAGAATAGAAAACCCCTTTATCATTCTACAATGGAGAAATTTTGGTGAATACAAAATAGCTAGTTGCAATGTGGATGGAGGTAAATCAGGAGCTTCTCTAGTTGGCTCAGCTTTTTCATCAGGCGAACTGTTTCCTATGGGCAGAATGTCTCTGTCCATCTCCCTCTCCACCCCATCATTATAGATAATGAAACTAATATGCTTAAACTACGGTACTTTGCTTTACAGAGAGATTAATTAAATTATATTTTACTTGGTTCAAAACAGCACTGGAAGAAAAGAGCAGCATACCTAGAGTGAAGCATGGTGGTGGCAGCATCATGCTCTGATATTACTTTTTCTGATAGAGCAGAGATTTTTGTAGTGGGAGATGAAATGAGGCAGAAAAACTGTAGGTCAGTTGTTCTCTTTCGTTAACATATTTTGCCTTAAAAATTCTCACTTTGGGTAAACAATTTCCTACATCTGACTTGGTAAGGGTTACCGGTAAGGCATTTTAACACCATACTAGTTGTAAGATTCTGTAATCATCCCCTTTATCTTAATTCTTGCTTCTGATTTTAAACAGCTTTAAACACTTTCTTTTCTATGAAGAATTTGAGCAAGAGGTTATTTCCATGTACCTTGTCTAATTAGGGAGTCGTGTTATATATTTTTCTTCTAATATTCTCTCATGTACGACAAGCTCATTTTTAACTACAGGCAGCGAATTTTCCATTTTTGCTTTTCCGTAGTTCTATTATGCAGCTAACTGTAGAAAAGCCCTAATATTGCACATGCTTAGTCTTATACAAAAACACGACTCCCTGTTCAAGCTTTTGGTTTGCTCTAAGCAGAAATGAATCTGTAATGTGAAATTTCTCTTAACACTAACCCAGCTGAACTGGGAGCTGCGAAGCATGAAAGAGCAGCTCTTGTGAAATTCCCAGTGCTGATGTGCACATCCAGCTTTTGTCTCGACCCTTTTCCTCTTCCCAGTGTTACAGACCTCACTCATTTCTGCTGAGCTGCCTGAGCCTTTGAGTGATAAAACCATGACAGGAGGAGTGAGAGAAGGATCGACTTGAGGGGGGGAAGAAGGGAGGTCCAGCAGTACCGCCTGATAAAAGCGAGCCTCCCCCTGGCTGCTGCCGACTTAACTTAGCATACACAATAGCTGCTTTAAATACCCTTGAAGTCCCTGCCACCGGCTAGTTTGGAGTGACAGTGACAAAAATAGGGAGGGCTACAGGGTTCTAAATACTTGATGGAACTGCAATTAAGACACCAGAAGAGGAACTGTGCCTGCAGCAAGTGAGGACCAAAAAGAAACAACACGGATGTAAGGAGGGAATGCATGAAAAGTTAATTCAGATTTTAATTCTGGTCACCTGTCACTACAAATAACCCTGCCCTAAAATTACAGGAGAGATGAAACAGAAAATCGTCATTAGGTCTGGCCGACAGGGTCTCTGCAGCATTAATGAGCAGTAATCTGACTAACATGGAAAAAAATATACTAATGACTTCATCCCCCAGCAACTGCATGGGCAACAATGTCCAAATCCGCAGAGGTTTGAAATCACTTTGCTTCCTCTATTTGTTTGGAGGAAGAAATAATCAGGACTCTCTCTTGCAGGCCTTTGGGGACAATTATTTCACATGTCTGGTGATTATCACCCTAATGCTGAAACTAACTGTAAGATTGACTACCCAAGCCCTAGAGCAGAAGTACCTTTTAGCTCTCAGAATATCAAGTAATTCGAAATTTGACCCAATGTATGCGCCTCTGCAATTTACACCAAAATGCAGCAAAGCAAAGCCGGATACTACTTATAAGGCGAGGGAGACGACTAAGTGAAACAGCTTAAGCTCTGCTACAGAAAAGTAAGCACTTTTGAGTTTTGCTTTATTGCTCTTTAAAAACCAGCTCCTGTGATTTTTCTACATGAATTATATATACCTTTGTGCCACCGCTTAAACTCCCCAGTGCAAACCCTTGCAACTTGCCTTTACAAGACAGATTATAATGCATTTTCTTGATTTCTATGAAATAATAACGAAGGCTTTTGCTGCCAGGGGAAAGTTCTTTGGATTTAATTTTATTTCCAGTCATGTTACACATGAGTTACATATGATGAAAGCCAATGAGCTATGATGAGCACATATGCACAATGGGAATCCTAAATGGGATTTGAACCAAGGTGCTTCTTGGTTCTACGCCAGTAATGTGCATTTTACTGCTCTACTGGATCCTGACTAGTTCCTAATTACTTTGGTCAATACGGACATAAAAGGCCTTTTACAGCATTGTAATTAATAGTATGTGTTGGGAGCTGGAGAAATTCCACCTTTCTCCAGCAGAGTCCGCCGTGGATCCTCTGAGGGAGCCTCCTGCACAGCTGCAGCTCATCAAGACCATCAGAGGATCCACTACTTAAGCTGTCTTCAGACCTTGCCTCAAGGCCGCAGTGTTGTTCCAGTTGGTCAGCGCTTAAGCCTAGATCCTCAGTGAAACTCTTTGACTTTGAATCCAGCCTGGATTCTAATTATTGTCTCTGTCTTCCAGGAAACCTGTGTCCTCTGTGAAAGCTCTGGAAGAGCTAACCTGCCGAGCCGACCCTCAGAGCCAAACCTGAAGAATCTCAGAGAACCTCCAAGCAGCTCTTGACTAGAGCTGGAAAACCCAAACCAAGGTCTGTTCATTATAGATGTGAGACGCTGAAGCAGCAAACGGACTCTGCTGATGAACTCCTCTCCAGACTCAACAGTGACTCTCCCAAAGCTAACCTCAAGAACCCTCAAGGTACAATCAGTGATCCTCTGGAAATCAAACCTCTGTTGGCAACGCTAACTGAACTGTCTCTCACGCAGACTCCGGTGAACCAGTATCCAGGCCCCGAACCAGAACCTGTACATTCTGTGTGCTTGTGCATAATAAACTTGTAAAAATTTCATCCCCGTGTCCGTTAGTGGTGTTCTGCATTCTTGGGTCGCTTTTTGTGAACCCATCATGACAGTATGATGGTTTTGAGAGTCTCTGCTTGGACTAAAGTAAGATTTAAATTAGTCTAATTGTAAAATCGATGTGCTAGGAAGGAGATCTATAGAATAAAAAGTATTTGCCAGGGGTTTATTTGTGCTAAAGTCATGTAAGCCAGAACTATAATGTTACCCTCATTTTTTTATTTCCTTGTTAGCTTCTCCCATCTCTCTGGGTAGCCTGGAAGACTAGAAAAGTCCAGTTCTTACCCTCTAATATTTCATCATAAGGTGTTACACAATCAGTAACCCCTCATTCCAACTATATTAATAGTCTGAGTAAATGGTTAATGCTATAAAAATAAAAAATAAATAATATTTACTGTGTAATAAATAATTGTAAAAATATTAAGATTTCCAACAAGAATTGTAAGATTACTTCTAATGTCTTAGTCTCTCAA